CTGTTTTCAGGTTGATAGCTAGAAAGGTAGGAGTCAGCTAGGAACGTCACTTATCTCTTCCAGGATCTTCTTGGAGTTCCCTTAAGCACATTTGTTGAATTCTAAGTGCTCCAAAGAGAACTAGGTAGAAGTCTTTAATGATTTGGCCCCTGAAGTCACACAGTGTTACCTCTGCTACAGTTACACACACCTGATCAGTTTCAAGAAAAGGAATCTTAGACTTCCACCACCCAGTGGGAGATGTGTCACCATTATATTATAAAAAACATGTTAAGTGGAAGATAATGCTGCACCAATCATTAGGAAATAAAATCTGCCACAAGCATGAAGTAAACAACAAATGACTAAACAATATCAGCAATGGATGTCAGTGCTTCTTTCAAATATTTGAGTTCTCTTGAGAATACATGATTGCACTTTTGCACCCACTTGAGGTTAGTCTAGCCCTGTGAGGATCAACTGTAAATACTTTGGTCAATGAAATGTGGATGGAAATGACTTTGCAGCTTAATTTCAGGAAGTATTTACAGTTGATCCTCATGATTCAGGAATTGTGTATTTGCAAATTCACTTACTTGGAAAATATATTTGTAACTCCAAATCAATACTGCACTTTCTCTATGACTGATAGTCATGCACATGTGCAGAACAGCAAAACATTTTAGACAGGGACACGCATGTTCCCACCTGAGAGATGTAACAGGATAAAGTGCTGCCTTTTAGTCTCAACTTTCCTATTGTAAATGTGATCTTTTCACAGTCTGGTTAATGCCACGTTGTTTGCATTTTTGTGCTTTCTGTTGATGATTCATTGTTTAAAATGGCCCCCTAGCATAGTGCTGAAGTGCTTCCTAGTGTGTCTAAATGTAAGAAGGTAATTAGGCTTTTTGTGAAGAAAATATGTGTATTAGATAAACTCATTTAGGCATGAGTTATGGTGCTGCTGGTTCAATGTTAATGAATCAACAACAGATATTAAATAAGTTATCTTTGTACAATAACACACATTAAACATGTTATATATTAATTGATGAAAATGTGACCAGAGGCTCATAGGAATTTACTTCTGTATTGCCTCTAGAAGCAATGGTTCGGTATTCACTAACTCAATGTTCAAGGTAACTTTATAGAACAGAACTACCTGGAATCCCCTGCTGTGGAGAACATAGAAGCACTTGCTGATATAAAGGTACCAGCCTGTACCATCACATGGGCTAGAAAGCTTAAATAATCTTCATAGTATCACATAAACATTGATTAAATGTGAACTAATAGAAAAATTTTACCATACTTCATCAACAAGAAAACTGGATTATTTGGACATATGGGTATTAAACTTGAAGTCTTTAAATTTCAATTAATTTTATTAAATTTGTTCTAACTGAAATCCTATTATTTTGAAATATAATTATCTTTCCTTCTATTATTTAACATGACTAATTATCACCATGTAAATATAGATAATTCAGCTCAGTCACCTGCTGTTATCTTCATTAAATTCTCTATATTTTTTAAAGATTTATTTTTTATTTATACAATAACTGGGGTACAGGTCAGAGGCATGGGAGAGTGAGAGAATTCACCAGAGACAGAGCAGGGAGGAGAACAGGCAGATAACGAAAAACACTGCTGAGGGGAGTAGCGGGTGCGACAGGAGAGATCTTCCACGCCACATGGCCAGTCGGGAATGGAACACGCGCTACAGAGGCTGCAGACAGCTTCACAGCACTATGCTCAACCCACTGCGTCACCGGGGAGGCCCCCTAAATTGTATATTACACACTCTATAAAATGAATGTCTCCAAATTTAGCATCACTTTCTACAAATAAAAACTTCCCCTCCAAGGCATTACAACTGTAAAGATAGCTGCAAATGTAAAGAACAACAATATAAATTACTTCCTTGTTTTTTTTAAAACCTTCAATACAGTAAAATTATATTCTCAACTTTGCAAATTCATGCAAACAACATATCACACCTGTTACATAAGTTAAAATAGACAGGCTATTTTTAAAATAAACCAAAAAGTCTTTTTAACCTTCACTAAATAATTCAGACCTAGCTCTGCATAACAATAGATTTGATATAATTTGATGTAAGCACTAGAAAGTGTCATGTTCCTGCCACTGCATGCTTATTTGGAAGGGAAGGGCAGGGAAAGAAGGGACATCAATTGCTTTAAAAGCACTAGGTCCATAAAATGGAAAATTATTCAGCAATAAAAAGTGATGAGGCACCAATATATGCTACAAGATGGACGACTCTTGAAAACATTCCACTAAGTCAAAGAGGCCTGTCACAAAAGATCACGATTCCATTTATATGGGATGTCCAGAATAGGCAAGCCGCAGAGATAGAAAGCAGATTAGCTATTGCTAACTAACTGGGAGGTAGGCGAAGATTGGAGGTACCCTCCCAGTTAGGTACCTCCCCTAACTGGGAGGTAGGCGAAGTTAGGTAGAAACACGAACTGTTCAGTTCTGTGGTGTTTCTTTTTGGAGTGATGAAATGTTCTGGAATTAAATAGTGGCGCTGATTATACAACATAGCATATATACTAAAAACAACTAGCATATACTTTAAAATGTGAATTTTATGTTATGTGAATTGTATCTCTAAAAACAAATTTAGAGCAGTAGGCTTACCCAATAGGATGGTCATAATCAAAAAGTCAGATAGATGAAAACAAGGGGTGGCGAGGATGTGGAGAAATAGTGTTCATAATCTGATGAGAAAAATGTCAAAATGGTGAAGTCACCGTCAAAAAGTGCCTGGCAGCTTCTCACAAAGTTGAACACAGAGTCACCACTTGACCCAGCAATTCCACTCCTAGGTACTTACCCAGGACAAGAAAATGAAGGTTTGCATGAACATTAGATGAAGGTTTACAGGAGCATTAACGACAACAGTCAAAAGTCTGAAAAAACACAAATGCCCATCAGCAGATGAATGGGCAGTTTCTCCAGTGAAATATTTTTAAGCCATAGAAAGGAATGAAGACGGAGAGATGCCACAACACAGAGAAACTTGAAGACATTTTGTTAAGTGAAAGAAACTAATTATAAAGGAGCACACATTACATGCTATATATAGCCTACAGTTTTGTGTCCCCCCCCAAATTCACATGTTGAAAACCTAATAACCAATATGATGGTATTAGGAAGTAGGGCTTTTGGGAAGTGATCAGGTTATGAGAGTAGAGTTCTGAATGGGATTAGCGCCCTTACAAAAGAGATCAGAGAAAAGTCCCTGGGAATTGGGTCCTCATCTGACTTAGCGGACACCCTGCTCTCAGTCTTCCAGAACTGTGAGAAATAAATTTTTATTCATAAAGCTGCCTAGTTTGTGAAATTTTGTTATGGCACCTCCACGATAAGAAGACACTGTCTGATTCTGTTAGGGGGAAAAGGATGTCCCAAAGCTAATTCCATATAGGCTTTGTGGACTCCACCCCTACCCCAGGTCAAAGCCAAAGACACTGGGAACTCCAAATCCCATCACCACCAAAGGGAAGGTGGCTGGGAACTGAGGGTGGGGTTAAGCAGCCAGGTGGATAGAAAAGGCAGACACGTGGGTTTTGGGGATCCCCCATTTTGGCTCTCTGCCAGCTCGCAGCGTCCGGCCAGCTCGGAGAGTGACTTTGGGTTTCCAGGTCGTCGGATCGGGTAGGACGCATTAAAGACTTTATTTCCCTATTTTCCCCCTGAGTTGTACATTTTCCTTATTTCCTTTTCCCTTGTAAATAAACCTTTTATTAACCTTGTGTGTGCCTGTAGTGGAGTATTCATAAGTCCCTTTTAAGCGCGCGGGTGAGGACCCCCAGCCAGGAACCCGTTTAATATCGGGGCTGCTCTATAACAATTCCATCTACACGAAGTGTCCAGAACAGGCAAACCTAGAGACAGAACGCAGCTTACTAGTTGCTTGAAGCTGGGGGGCTAGGGAATTGGGGAAGGATGCTTAAAGTGTATGGGGCTTCTTTGGGGGAAGGGGTGATGTGATGACAAAGTTCTAAGATAGCTTGGGGTGATAGTTGCACAACTGAGAATATACCTGTAACACTGGACGGTACCCTTTACATTGGTGAGGTATATGGCATGTGAATTACAAATCTCAGCAAAAAAAAAAAAAAAATCTAACCCCAAAAATTTAAGCATTAGGATCTGGCGGCTGTCCCTACCCTCTCTCCCAGGCCCACTGTGCCAGGCTTTTAGATCTGGTGGGATGACTCAGAGGTTTCTGAGTCATTTCAGGGAAAGGTCGAGAGACCTGGATTGTTCAAGCCTGGAGAATCTTCAGGCCTGACTGCCATTTATGTGCCTCCTCCCGGGACGGAGTCCGAAGGCTGTTGGGACCTAGGCCACCTGCTAGATGTGAGCGGGGACCACTCGCCCCAGCGGGCCCCCCAGGTACAACCTGCACAGAGCAACAGGGTGAGGCCACACATGCCCGCCCTGCCTCCCACCCAAAGCAGGCTCACTCCGGCACCGGCACCGAGAAGGGGAGGCCCGTCTGCAGCTCCCCAGAAGCAGGCCGGGCCGGTAGAACCAGTTCCCAGCCAGTGTGGGGCGGCCTCGGGAGAGGTTCCCGAATGGGGAACACCAGAACACCACTCCCCGCCCCACCTCGGTTGCTTGGTCCTCCTCTGCTGTCCTACCCCTGCTCCCCTGGTGGACACCTTTGCTGGCCTATTAATTAAAAAACAAGGGTGGGGACCCCCAAAGAAAGTCGGATCCTGCAACTTTGCTTCCAGGTTCTGGCCCTCACCAGCGGAGGAGCCCCACCAGAGAGGAGGAGCCCCACCAGAGAGGAGGAGCCCCACCAGAGAGGTGCGGCCTGAGGGAGTTGCTGGGGGTGGGGGCCGGGCCCTTGGATCTCAGCGCCCCCTCCCGGCCCAGGTCGGGCTGTGTCCAGCCTACGCGAGCGCCCCGCAGTGCGCAGAGGCGGATCGCGCGACTCGGGGCGAGCGGCTGGCGCGGGCAGCGCGGGCAGCGCGGGGCGGGGACTGGGCACCTGGGCGGGCGCGCACTCGCCGCGGGACAGCCCCGAGCGGCCCCGGCGCGCCCGGCCAGGTGATTTCCCCGGAGCGTCGGCGCCGTCCATGGCCGAGGTGCTCCAGCCAGACCCCGGGGCAGCCGGAGGCTCGGCGGCCCAAGGCGTGGAGACCCCAGACTGGAAGACCCCGGAGGACGCGGGTTCCCAGGTAGACGACCCCCGGGAGCGGATGGTGCGGAACGGGGCGCGCGGGGCTGTGGACCCACTGATCGGCAGCGAAGGCGGGGGGTGCCGGGGATTTATATAAAAAGTAACTTTTCAATGGTCTGCGCCTCTAAACCCCATTCCTGGATAAACGGGAAAATTCGGTCTTTGAGCCGTCCCCCCAGGTACTGGGCATATCTCAGTTTCTTGGCGGCTAACAGCCAAAAATATAAAGGACTGACACGTATCCCGATCTCTGCGGTGGGACCCTCCAGACCCGGCGGGGCAAACAGGTTCTTGTTAACTTGAACGAGCCGACACCGCCCCCTACACTGCCCCCGAGCGCGCGGCCCAGGCTGGGGGCGCCCCAGGACCCCAGAACCCCAGCCGCGCGGGAGGCGCCTGACACCTACAGGAGCGCAGACCTCGGGGCCGGGGCCCCAGGGGACCCCGGGGGACCCGCCATCAAGGCACCTGTTCTGATGTGTCTCACGTTCTGTCATCTTCGAATTGCTTCCCCAAGTTTTCTCTGTTCCATGTTAGCCCGACAGTTACGAGATCCGACACTATGGACCAGCCAAGTGGGTCAGCACCTGCGTTGAGTCCATGGACTGGGATTCAGCTCTCCAGACTGGCTTTACTAGGCTGAACGACTATATTCAAGGCAAAAACGAGAAAGGTGAAGGCAATTTCTCTTGTAAAAATTTATATTATATTATATTATATTATATTATATTATATTATATTATATTATATTATATATAAAACTATTTTTATATATAAATGTATTTATATATATTTATATATAATATATATTATATATATTTTTCATCCTTTAACTCTCAGGGACATCTTATAAATATATATATATATATATATATATATATATATATATATGGCAGATTCAGGCCTCTGCTTTATTGAGTTTTAGCTTATTAAAGAAATAATCCTGTGGAATAGAAAAAACCAAATCGCCAGTGTTTGAAGACAAGGGCTGCCCGCAGGACTGTTGGCAGCAGCTGGAGGAGTGTAGTACTCAGTAGTGGTTGTCTATTCTTGTCAGTGTTTCTGCTGGATGAACTGGGTGGCTGTGTGACTAGTGTTAAGTCCTTTTCATGGCTACTGCTTGGAGATAATTTAGGGACTGGCAGAGTAAGAGGCGTTAGGAGGAAGGAAGGTACAAAGGACACAATATCCAACATCAGGACTTCTAGTGCTAGAGCTTGCCACTATTTATATTTTAATTGGTCACCTCAGTTTCTGAACTGTAAAAATAAAGGACTATGTGATCACTGATTTTTCCTTCTATCCCTAAAACAATGGAATTAACCAAAAAAATATTAGAACAGAAGGTGTTTAATGTGGGCAGTGGAGGAAAGAGTAATTTTGACCTTATTTTTTAAAGATGCTGATGATCTTAAATATTTATGCTAACAACATAAAGTAAATGAAGAAAGTCAGATCAAGAAATGATAGGTTACATTTTAAAATAGTTTAAGTACACTAAATCTGTTTTCATGGTCTCCTTTGTGTGGATTTGTGTGTTTGTGTGTATCTCACATATACATTTATGCTACAGAGATGAAAATTAAGATGACAGCTCCAGTGACAAGCTACGTGGAGCCCGGCTCGGGTCCCTTCAGCGAGTCTACCATTACCATTTCCCTATATATCCCTTCTGAACAGCAATCTGATCCACCCAGGCCTTCAGAGTCAGATGTCTTCATTGAAGACAGAGCTGAAATGACTGTGTTTGTACGGTAAGTGGTAGATAATTAATAGCCCTGCTGCCTGCTAGTTTTACTTGCTTGCACTCACAGCTTAGCTCCTAGGCAATTTCAGAAGCTTTCCACCCTTCTGTGAAAACAGGTGTGATGCATTTTGTGGTATTTTCCTACTGGTTTAGTATTATATGTTACTAATAAGGGTCTGTTACAGGATATAATTGATTCATTTACTGAAGAGTCTGTTGCATGCCTTCCATAAATAAGACACAATGCAAATTATCTCCCCTGCCCCCCAGCATAAGACTGCCCTTATCTGCCATCAAGTTGGACCTGAACAAAAATACTGTAAGACACAGTCTGTGTGTGGGAACCCTCCTACCACTTCTAGGTTCTGATAACCCCAAACTCTTTCCTTTGTTCCCCAGTTCAAAGGATGATAGCTGCTTCCTGCAGTGTTTGCCTCTGTTGGCTCAGTGGTTCCTTTTGACTTTTTCTAACCTCTGAAACCTTATCATTCTTTATATTACATTCCCTGTTGAAATTTTTTTTTTAAAGTTCATGTTAATAGTCCTTATTACTCCCTTTCTCTCTCTCTCTCTCCTCACTACCAACCTGTTAAAAGAATCCACCTCTTTGTCTCTGCTCCTTCAATCCCCAGGTATTCCTTAAACCACCCCCATCAGTCCAGCCCCCACAGTAGTGTCCTCACATTTCCCACGATGACAGTCTCTCCCGGGGTCCAGGCGCATCCAGGTGCTGACAGCCTGTGCTCTTGAGACTTTTTTTTCATCCTTTAACTCTCAGGATGTCACTTTCATTTGTCTCCTGCTTCTCTCCCTCCCCTGACTCATCCATTCCCGACACCAGGAGTCACTGGTGGTCACTATTATTGACCTTTCTGTCCCAGCAGAATTGCTCTGGGCTACTCAGTCACAATGCTTCAGTGACCTATCCAAAGACACCCAAACTGAGTGTCTGCTGCCCTGATTTTCTCTCTCGTCGAACATTTCCATGTGTGTGGGGGAGGCAGGGTGGATACTGGCGAGGTGGTGTGAGAGCAAACCTCTAAAAGAGCTCAAAAAATGAACCGCTACCTAATTTCCAGGATATCTTTGATGTTATGGTGCATGGCTCAGTGAATGACCCTATGAACCTGACAGCCTTCCCAGCAGTGACCTTGTGGTCATCGTTAGCACATTCTTCCCTAACAGCTGGCCCCAGACCTGGCCCACTATCCTAGAAATGACCTGTGACGCTGTTCCCGTCTCTCCATTCTCATGACTCCCCCAGGTCCTCTTCTCCTAGGAGCCATATGGAAGTCATCTTTGTATACTCGGGGTGTGCACCATGCCTGACACTCATCAGCCTCTTGGGTATTTATTGATGTCAGGTCTTCACTCTTCTGCCTCAGTAGCCCCCCAGCTCTTCTGTCTGCCCTCCATTCTCTTCCTGTCCGCCTCCACACTGGAACTGAAAGTCTTTCTTACAACATCAGCAGCAAAACCCCTAACCAGTTCCTCCATTTAAAGGTCTTTTGGTTTCCTCTTGCTTCAGGGTGACGTTCTAGTTGAGCTTGTTCACGCTGTACATGATCCCTTTCAGAATGGGCCAAACCCTGTGTCCTGGACTGGTCACTGAGCAGCCACGTTCCTCCACATCTCTTTACACATCGGGGAAGTTGCTCGGATTTTCCAAGGCAAAAGCTCCTCATCTATAACATGTGTACGATCACAGTACCTCCCTAACAGATAGGGTTGTCGTGAAGATCAATGGGCTAATTTACATAAAACACATAGACTATGAACATGTTACTACGAGTGACAGCTCCCACTGTCTTCTCTGCCTAAGAACTTTCTTTTTTTAATTTTATGTATTTTTTTTACATTTTTAATTTTTGCACAATGTATGCAGTTTCATCTGGGTCATAGTCCCCATACAATCCCTCCCCACCACCCTGTAGTGTGTCTCTGGTTTATAGTTTGCTTGTTGATTTTGATTTTTACTTTATTATAGTCTTTTTCCTGGTCCCTTAGTTTGGTTTTCTAAATTCCTGCTATGAGTAAGAACATCCAGTATTTTTTTCTTTCTGGCTTATTTCGCTGAGCATGATCCCTTCCAGCTCCATCCATGGTGCTGCATATTGCATGAGATTATCTTTTTGATTGCTGAGTAATATTCCATTGTGTATATGTACCACATCTTCTTGATCCAGTCATCTATTTTTGGGCATTTGGGTTGTTTCCATAGCTTAGCTATTGTAAATAGTGCTGCTATAAACATAGGGGTGCAGGTGCCCTTTTGAATTAATGTTTCTGTGTCCTTTGGGTAAATACCTTTCCTAAGAACTTTCATCCTGCAGGACTTAGACTAGACAGCATTTCATCAGTGATACCTGCCTCAGTTTCCCCAGTCTCACATGCTGTCCTTGTGTTATTCTAAAATGTAGGAACCCATTGATAGACTGTAACTTTCTCAAGAAAGCAGGAACAGGGCCTCCCCGGTGGCGCAGTGGTTGAGCGCTGGGTTGCGAAGCTGCCCGCGGCCTCTGCAGCGCCGGTTTGATCCCCGGCTGCTCCCCGGCCACCAGAGGAGGGTCCCACATGGCGCGCAGACCTCTCCTGCCGCCCGCTGCTCCCCTCAGCAGTGTACTTCTGTCCTTCTGCCTGCTCTGCTCCCCGCTCTGGCTCTGGTAAATTCTCTCACCCTCCCGCGCTTCTGACTGTACCCAGTGCATGTATAAACAAAACAAACAAACAAACAAACAAATAAATAAATAAAAAAACATGCCTCTATTAAAAAAAATTAAAAAAAAAAAAAAAAGAAAGCAGGAACATATTACCATATTCTTTAGCATCTAACAAGGCAGATAGATCGGAGGAGGCTCAATATGTTCATGGCCTCTACAAAGCTATAGACAGACCAAGTGTGTTCAGAAGTCAGAAGATGATTTCTTTTTTAAAAAAAAGATTTATTTATTTATGCATACAAGAGCTGGGGTACAGGCCAGAGATGCAGGGGGTGTGAGGATTCACCAGAGACAGAGTGGGGAACAGAACAGGCAGACTGACTGAAATACACTGCTGAGGGGAGCAGCGGGCGAGTCAAGAGAGGTCTGCTGTGCCATGTGGGTATCTCTCTGGCCGGCCTGGGGATTGAACTCGTGCTGCAGTGGCTGTGGATTGTTTCACAGTGTGGTGCTTAACCCCTTGCGCAACCAGGAGGCCCCAGAAGATGATTTCTAATTAGGGGACTTCAACTTCAAGGAAGATTTGATTTGAAGGAAGAAGTAGGATTTGAAAACAAATTCCCTTTAGGCAGGCCGTACAAAGGCTGGCTATTCATTTAGGAATTAGTTCAGACAGAGGGTTCAGAATTATTTTCAGTCAATATGAAGAAAAATATAGAATTTATCTTCAGTGTTTTGTTTATATACATGTGCAAGTTCGATTCAACACTTGTTAAACAATGAGTTCAAAGTTACAGCATGTCAGGAATGATTCTATGTTTTGGGTAGACATTGTTGAATAAAACAGACAGTTTATATCCTTATGAGCTACCTGTTATCTGAAGAAAGGTAGGGTGGGTCTTTCCCACTGGCACACTGATGATAAAACTCATGCCAAAGGAGGCATCATATTTTTGTTTCTCTCCATTTCCTGTCCTTACCCTTCAAAATAAAACGCTTTGTTTACGTGGTAGCAGCTCAGCTAGGTCAGTGTGCTGTCCTGATTTAATCTGGGTATTTTTGTTGGTATACTTTAAAATTTATACTTTCCCCTCCTATTTTTATTTAAATCTTTTTACTATCTTTTCTTCCTCATCCCATGGAAACTTCCTGATTTGTTCTTTTCTATTGTCTATTTTCCATCAATCTGCCTATATTCTTACTCAGGTCTGATCAAGTTACTTTGCTGCTCAATAGCTTTTGGAATAATCCCAAAGGCCTTAGGATGATATATTTTGTTCTAACTCTTGCTCAACTCTGATCTCATTTTATGCCTCATGGTGAAAATGCTTTGCATTTTTCCACTTCTGTTTCTTCTTTTACCTCTTCACTTTCTCTGTCCAAGAAAATCAACTTCCATTCCAAACCCAGCTCAGATGATATCCCTTAGCCCTGACTTAACCATGTCCCCAGTGTTCCTATTCCAATTTGATCCTGTGTCTTAAAATCTCGGGCTCTATAGAGAGCTGCCAAAATATTCATCTCTTCCATAAGACTATAAATTCACAGGGGTCAGAATTATATCACATTCATCTGTAATACAGTGCCTACCCTGTCCCCAAGGAGAGGAAAAAAAGGGAAAATGTTGAAAGAAAATGGAGAGTCTGAAGGGTGGTTCTGGTGTGGTTGTCTGGCCATGAGCATAAGCAGGAGTTTGTCAGAAATGCAAATTCTTAGGTCCCATTGCAGATTTTCTGAATCTTAAATTTTAGCAAGATCCCCAGGCGACTCATTACACATTAATGTTTGCGAAGCACAGAGTTGAAGCAGGAGATGATGTAAATTCCAAATCTGCCAGCCAACAGATGAGTCAGCTGCGTCCTCTGGTGTCTCCTCTATGTGCTGAGGTCACACTAGTCTGGGGAGCAGAGGAAGGGGTGGGGCAGGTTCTGCTGAGAGGGAAGAGCCTCCCAGCAGCACTCACCCAACATATTGCTAGCAACTCCTGCTTTTCTTTTCAGACAGATACTGGCATCAGATTGAAATAATTTATGATTATTTGCTTTCTCCTTTGTAGGTCTTTTGATGGATTCTCTAGTGCCCAAAAGAATCAAGAACAACTTTTGACATTAGCAAGTATTTTGAGGGAAGAAGGAAAAACTTTTGATGAGAAGGTTTACTACACTGCAGGCTACAACAGTCCTTTCAAATTGCTTAATAGAAACAATGAAGTGTGGTTGATTCAGAAGAATGAACCCTCCAAAGAAAATGAATGAGAAAATAAAAGGAAGTTCCATTGCCAGAGGCGAAACTTCTGTTGAATAGAGACATAGACACTACCTATAGTGAAATGTGTGTCTAGTGTCTGCCTGAGAGCACTAGGAATTATGCTTATTTGCAATGTGTGTTTTTAATGCTTGAAGATTTATCTAGATACGCAGGGGACAGTATTCTACAAGCAGGCAAACTGGTCATTGGGCTGGTGGTCTTTCTGAGGCTACAGGAAAATGTCATTACTTACTACTTGTTCACTGTGTTATAGTCATCTTGGATTTGTGTCAGGTGACTATCACTCCCTCCAGATATTATCAATAAAAAATGTATCCTGTGTGGAACTACTAGGCTGTCAGGCTTGGAGACATGAAGTCCAACAAATAATAAAAATCAAATGGTCTTTTGTGGATGCCACATTAAGTCTCTGTTGAGTCCTCTCCCCCATCTACACACTGTCCCTGAGAAAATGCTTACAACACTACAACGCATTGCTAATGTTTTGTGACAAGGAAAAAAAATTACGACGCGGGCCTCCCCGGTGGCGCAGTGGTTGAGCACTGGGTTGCGAAGCTGCCCGCAGCCTCTGTGGTGCCGGTTCAATCCCCGGCTGCTCCCCAGCCACCAGAGGCGGGTCCCACATGGCACACAGACCTCTCCTGCCGCCCGCTGCTCCCCTCAGCAGGGTACTTCGGTCCTTCTGCCTGCTCTGCTCCCCGCTCTGGCTCTGGTGAATTCTCTCACCCTCCGGTGCTTCTGACTGTGCCCAGTGCTTGTATAAATAAATAAATAAATCTAAAAAAAAAAATTATGACGCTAGGAACTTCCTATCCTACTTGGATATTCAAGGCATTATTTTACTGAAGAAATGTATTGACATGTAATTTAAAAATTCACTTGAATTTTTAAAGTATTTTATGTAGTATTTCTAGAGGTCACATAAAAATGATTTTTCCCCCCAAAACTGGGTTGCCACAGAGTCAAGGAGGTTGAGATCCTTGCCTAACTGTGCTGCAAAATGCTTGTCCTGGTGAAATTAGAGTCACATTCAGATACCTGGAAGCTCATGGAAAGGAAGGGAATGACCTTCCCCGTGAGCTCTGGGAGGCTGGTGGTGGTAGGAGTGAAGGAGAACAGCAGGTTGGAGCTCAGTAATTTCCCAAGAATTAAAACTGTCCACAGTGACAGTACAGCTGACCTGGAACAACACAGGTTTTAACTGTGCAGGTCTGATTACATGTGAATTTTTTTTTCCAATAAATTATTTTCTCATGATTTTCTTAGTAACATTTTCTTTAGCTCACTTTATTGTAAGAATACTTTATATAAGACATAACATGAAATATGTGTTAGTTGCCTGTTACTGGTAAGACTTCTGGCCACCAGCAGACTACTAAGAGTAAAGTTTGGGGCGTCAAAAGTTATAGGTGAGTTTCTGACTGCGTGGATTTGGCACCCCAACCCCTGAGTTGTTCAAAGTTCCACTGTACTTCCAGTTCCCGTCATTGTGTGTCTAAGCTGGTTCCACAGAACCACTTGTATAGGAGGTTTGAGTATCCAGTGGGTGAGAGGATGGGGCAGATGATGCTTGAGGCCCTTTCAAACCCATTTTATAGTATCTCCTTTAAATGAATCTCCCGGAACGGGTGGGAGCCTAGGAGGGCCTAGCCCTGCCTATCCTAGATACAGTAGGTCCATCAACAGTCTCCAAGGCTGACTCTCAAAGATGGCCTCCGAGGTGCCCATGCTAAGTGCTTCATTTGAATGACCACATTCACCCCTCAGAACAGCTCCGAGGGCTAACTTTATCCTCTCCACTGTGCAGAGGAGGACTTTGAGCCACACTGACAGACATAAGGCAACTTGGCCCGGATGAGACAAACAGCAGAGGCTGATTTGAGTTCAGGCAGTCTGGCCAGGGCCTGGAGACAACCACACACTCTCAGCAGATTGCTGCTTAGAGCGCCGCCTGCTCAGGCCATCAGAGGGCTAGCAGCGCTTGGTGGTGTTCCTCCTGCGTATCCTAGATGCAGACTCTACACGATTCTGATCTCTCAGACTGTAATTTTTTTCACACCTGTAATTTTTGATAGCAAACCAGCTAGACTTCTGGTCTTGAAATTATTATAGGTAGAAATGTTTAAATCCCACATGCTCAGTGAAATAAGCTAGAAAGAAAAAGAAAAATGCTGAATGGTTTCACTGATAGGAGGAATGTAAGGATCCAAATAAGGGATTAGGGAGGAAAAAAAGTTATTACAATAAAGTAAAAATCGAAATCAACAAGCAACTATAATCCAGAGACATTCTGCAGGGGGTGGGATCAAACCAGGGGTGGGAAATGCACAAGGGACTGCGGTGATGGTACATGGGTGAATTGGTGGTGGGAATTTCATGGCACTGTAACCGAAATGAGAAAGCATACATTATACAAAAATGAAGAACGATGTAAACAATATATAAAATTAAAATATGATTAAAAAAAGTGAAAGAAATTTTAAAATCTCAATTATTTTCCAAAGGAACTTGCCTGAATTGACTAGTTATTGATTCTCTGCATTTTATGCATGCCCCAAAGAAACTAAATGTGTTAGTTCATTTATCATCACTCATTGGAGGACACCTTCTAACTGTCCCACTGATGAATGTCCAGAGTACTAGCTTCTACTTGTATGATGTAAAATATTCTAATGTTTGCTCTATAGACATAAAAAATAGGTATCTCTTAGGAAATAAACTGCATTTTCAATGAGAGAAGCGTATTTCTATTACCAAGAGTTAGTTATAAACTGAAACATGTTCAATAAAAAAAGTTTTATACTATTCAAGTCTAGAATATCCATGTCTCCTCCTTTTCATAAAGCACAAGGGCTACGATCTTTTTCTGCCCTAAATTGATTGATCTAGAATATGAAATGAATCAATTTTAATTATATGGCTGGCCCTGAATACAGCTATCTCTTCTATCTGCATTTCTTCAAGATTTTTCTTCTTTGGGTATAGGAAATTCATGTCTAGGCTCTTTTCTAAGGCTTAATCTTCCACCTTTGCTGTTGTTCTAATTTTTGCTCCATCAGTTAACCCCCGTCCTCTCATCTTCAGACTCATCCACATGCTTCTATCACTCTGCTCACCAACAGGCTCAGGTTCTGTCTGACCCTCCTCCACATACCCCAAAATCCCTTTATACCCTTTATATAGGACAGTAATTTCCACCCCCCTTTACCTTCATTATCCAGTTTGTCTGAAAAGAGTGGTCCAAAATCTCCCTTGGAGGTCTAGGTTGTGAAGAGGCTTCCAAGGACCATGATAAGGAATTAAGGTGGGGAGCCCCCCAGTGCTCTCCAGAGTCATCCAGTTGTCTATGTGTATGCCAATTTTTCATTTGATTATGTTTTTACATAATATACATATTTACAAGTCTGAAAATAACTTATTTAAACTCAGTGCTTCCATTCATTCCTTTTGAGTCACCAGTTAATCCCCTAAAAATCTTGCTTTCCCCCCTACACATTTCACTGAAACATCATTTATTTTCATCCACTCTTAAGTCATTACAGCATCCCTGCTATTTTCCAGGCATTGCATTGTGTTGTGGGCTGGGACATGGTAGTGAGCAGAAATGTACACTCCTCGGCGACTCTGGAATCATCAAATACAATGTCTTTTGCTCTTCTATTTAGTTCACCTTCCTGCTGAGAGATCAGCAATGAGTAGGAGAGATAAGACCCTGGCCCTTGTGGAGAATGGGAGGTTTAGATACAAATGAAATGGGAAAATGAACAGAGTGTGACTTGGCAAAGTACAGGGACATCACCTGGGGGAGGAGGGTCAGGAAAGTTGTCTTGGAAAATCATTTGAGATTTGAATGATGAGAAGGAGCCAGTCAGATGAAAGCCTGGGTACAGGGCAGCGTCTTGGGCAGACGTGATCGTGTCAACAGAAGGGGCCATGCTCGGGATCCAGAAGAGCCTGCATACTTGCTTGCTGGGAAAAAGCATTTCCCTGGACAAAGAAAACTGCTGACCTTGCATGGGGTTCAAGGATTAGTTTTTCCGATGCATGCAGGGGCTGAGTGTGCTTTAGTTGTGGAGGTGTGGTGAGGCCTCTGCTGATGACGGTGATTTAAAAGCTGGTTTAAAGGTGAGTTCACCAACTCAGAGTTGTCTCTGGGAAAGCATGCTATAGGGTGCTACCACTAGCCAAGAGAACAGGTGATTGTCTGTGGGTTCTTCATCCCTGCACACAATTGCAAGATGGCTCCAGGACCAACAGTAGGGCTTATTAAACCAACAAAGGATACAAAGTCTCATGAGGCCACAAGAGGCTGGCTATCTCACCCGACGTGGTGTCCACAGTATCCAAAAGCCCTAAACAAAAGGCTGCCCATCCAAGATGATGCCAACAAGGACCTGGAGCTCCTAGTAGCGAGCAAGCAGCAGGCCAGGATCCGACTCATTGCAGCTGGAGGTGCTCACAGGCGGGGCCGCTGAGATGCCGCCATGGCAGCTCACAGCAGCAGCCTGAGGGTTGGATGGACAGCACTGGAAGCAGCAGCACCAGGAGGTGGTGCTGGATGATCTCACATCTCAAAAGGTAACCTGGACACGGAGTGTCGGTAGCAATGGCCAGCGCTATAGCAATTTGAGGCACCCGGGCTGGGGCCTTTCCTGCTCTTCCCGGGCAATGTCAGAGGCAGGCCGGAGGTGGGGAGTGGCCCCCGGGGTCTGCAAAGCGCTTTGGCTCTTTACGAAGCTTTTTGGCTTCCTTCTTTCTTTGGAAGTTGGCTGCTGGATGCTGCTGCTTTTTTTTGGAGGCCTGGAACAGACTGTGTCAGAGCATGCGGGTCCAAGGCTGAGAGTCCAGTCCCTGTGAGTCCCAAGCTGGCATCCACCCTGCCTTATATCTTCCTCTTTCCGGGTCTCCCACAGACACGAACAAGCCTGACTGGACCTGTTTCAATCTTATGGCTGATTGGACAATTTACCAATCAGCTCATAGCTCGCACCTGATAGGTCCATACTATGATCCAGGATCCAAGTCCTTGGGCCTCTGCACTAGCTGCAGCTGAGGGAGCCTCAGCCCTGGAACTGACCCCGGGGTCTGTGCTCCTCCCTGCAGCCCTCATGCAGGGGCTGCATGCCCTGGGACAGCATGATAGGGGAACCACCACTATCTGCCATCATTGCTGGCTTCTGCCTGCAGCCTGAGCCCCAGTGGGGCCACTGGTAGCGGGCAGTAAAATACCCATCACCGGCTGCCACTTGTACTGCCCGCAAGCAGTACTCTGGGCCAAGCACCCGAGCCCTGAGAGGGGAGGGGTGTCTAATTACATTTTATTGTTTCTGGCACTTGCTTGTTACTGTGGTCAAAGGACAATCTTTTCTCTTCTGGGATTTGAAGTTGTGGGAACAATCTCTTGGGGATCCATCTGGATCATCTGCAAATAAATTGCACCTGTGAATACAAACTTCAAAAATAAAGTTAGGTGAGTGTTTTTTCTGTCTTTTGTTGCTCTGGAGTCTGAAAGCATTTTAACCCAAGTCAAACTACAATTTATTTAAAGAGCTATTCTACCTTCCATACAGGCCAGCCTTTATTCACAGAACAAGGACTAGAGCAATCTGTAGTCATTTGTTCAGCAATGGAAAAGAGGTCCTTTATTAAATACTCCACTTCCTAGGTAAGAGTTCTTTAATACATGGATGAGAAATCACTAAAGGGCTTTGTAGCAGTGTGAAGACACAGAGCAGGATCTCTATGACCCAAGCAGACTGGGCAAAGGGGGAGTCTGGAAGCCATCGGTGGGTTTTTGCAGGCTTTTACTGGAATTTACCAGGTACACGGCAGGCAAGGGGTGCTGGGGGCCAAGAGGCTGTCAGACCCTGGCCTTCACTCTTTCTGGGTTCTCTGGCGTTCTCTTGTGGCCTCTGCTTCTCTGCTCTCATTCTCTCTCTCGCTCTGCTCTCCTTTCATTCACTCTTCCTCTGCTGGCGTTCCCGTGATGACACCCTTTATAAGTCCAGTCTCAGTCCAGGTGAATCCTATCTGCATATGCCCACACCCTATTCCAGGTGCCAGCCATCAAGCATGCATTCCAGACAACATGGACCCATCATCAATCCTAATGGCGGGAGGGCAGAAAAGCCTGATACTTTTTACCTTACCCGACAAGCTTCAACCCTCATGAAGAAGACAATGAACTATGTATGCTGCAAAACATCAGTTAATCATAGATGTAAAGAGTAGCACTCTGGGTTCAGTGGCAAACCCTGTGGGACCCCATCTGAAATGTGTTCTCCTTTATCACGAACACCTGAAATTGCTTCAGGTCAGCAATGCACCCATAGAACTCTCTATGGCCTCCCCGATAGCCAAGTGGGCAGGGTGAGTCTCAGCTATGATATAGGTAGTAGTCAGTCTGGGAACGTTGCTTTCCTTGTATAGGTGCCACCCCTTCTTCTTGTGGCTGCCTTCTTCCTGTCTCTCCCCAGAATGGATGGAGGCTAGAGGAGGAACAATACTGTAATCTTTGAGTCACCAATGAGAATGAAAGTTACATGTAAGATGGTGAAAATAGAATCGGTCCATTGATAAGATCTAGGGTCATTCCTCGAGCCTTGGAGTCTACCTCCAGAAACATTGGGTAAGTAATTTTCGCCCCTTTTGCAGTTAAGTGATCTGTTTCTTAGCAGATGTCGTTGCTTCTACTAGATAGATAGAGGGGAGTTTTACTGTAGTGAATCTGAGCTAAGACTTCTTAGCGATTTCATGAAGCAATAGATGCTGGCAGAAGGATACTTCAGAGGCAATAACAAGGCAAAGGCTTGTTAAAACAAAGGGTTTTAATCATTCCTTTTTATTTCTAAACCCCTGGTCAGTTGGCTAAGCCATTTACCACTGTTTGGATTCTATATGTATTTCACCTTACTTTTCCTCCCTCACAAGGTGGATGACCAAGTCCTTCACCAAATTGTCTCTTTTTTCCTGGAAAGAGTGCAGAGGCATTTTTTTTCCCCTTGAAGCCGTCTTCCCGCATCACTGCTGAGGGTGTAATGCAATTGCTTTCCATTTTCAGTCTGCACTCACAAAGTAAGCTAACTCATCAATAAACCAAGCTCAAGTTTTTCCTCTTCCTTCAGCTAAACATGAGGTCCTCTAAACGACCAGAGGCAGGGAGGGGGGTGATGACATAGGTTTGGGGTACCTGCTCACGCAGCTGAAGAGCTCCAGCCTGCCTCCTGATGCTCCTGGATGATCATTTCCATGTTATGATTGACAGTTGCTGGTCCTACCAACTTTATGACATGGTGGGACAGGACTGGGATGAGATGGACTTTCTGAATGCATAATTGCTTGGTTCCATGTTTCCATCTTTGTCAGGGGCCAGTAGCACATCAAAAGGGGTTTTACAAAAACCTGTAATTCTCTGTTGCAGCCTTCAGCACCCAGGAACCCATATTGTGATTTTCCCATTGGGTCTTATCATAAATTCCACACTGAATTTTTTTTTTTCCACCACCAACACCTCCTATACCATAGCATCTGTTAGAAAAATCTGGCCAAGCTACACATCCCTTCATATTTGTCTCTTTGGGGTCTGTTTCTAATAGATTTTTCTCCCTAATTATGGGTCATATTTCTTTCTTTTTTGGATATTGGGAAATATGAATGTTTGGTTGTTTGTTGAAAAAGAAGTAGTGACTAACATTAAGCTGCACTCCAAGGTTGAGCAGAGACAAGAAATTAAATGCAGAAGATGCAGGGCTACCCAGTGGTGAGAGGCCCACGAGCAGAAGTTCAAAACTCCGATTATCTGAAGAAAATACTCTTCATACTTCTTCATGTATTTACTGTCCTGTAACTAGACAATGAACTCCAGCTAAGTCCACATTTCTTTGTCTAACCCACTTTTCAGCCAATAAAATGTAATTCTTATGTTACTCAACTCTATACTCCCCAAACATACATAACCTCATTCCCTTTCTTAACTGGGATAGGTTTGAGTTTATCTTCTGTCTCCTTGAAAATTAATTCACCAGTTTCCTTCTTTTCTCAAAAAACTGGTCTCATGGTATATTGGTCTCTATGTACATTGAGTAGCCTATTGCTCTGTAACAATAGTAACTAAATAGTTTGATTATAGGAAAAATGGACCTCAAGCAACAGGCCCATGCTCTAAAAGATCTTTCTTGTCTGCAACAATATTCCAATATCTGCTAAAGTAAATTATCCTTTTGTGCTCATTTCATGATGGAATCTCAACAATATAAACAATTATTCATATTCAACGATGTCCTGAAAACAAAGTAAAGCAAAACCAGTAAGTTTTGAGCGTTACCTGTCCTCCCAAATTGCCCATCTGAGCTGGACATGGTGTTGGTGGGTGGGGACTAAGACTGAGAAATAGAAATGCCTCCTTTCCTTGTCAGTGTGATTCCTCAAATGCATACTGTTGGCCCTTGCCATCCTCAGGCATTTATTTATTTTTAAAATATTTGTTTATTTTTATACAAGAGCTGGGGTACAGGCCAGAGGTGAGGGAGGGTGAGAGGATTCACCAGAGACAGAGCAGGGAGCAGAACAGGCAGACAGACCAAAAGCACAGCTGAGGGGAGCAGTGGGCGTGACAGGAGAGGTCTGCCACACCATGTGGGAATCTTCCTGGCTGGCTGGGAATCAAACCTGTACTGCAGAGGCTGCAGACAGCTTCACAGCACTGCGCTCAACCCTTTGCGCCACCGAGGAGGACCATCCTCAGGCATTTATGATGCTTGCATTTGTACTGAATGTACAGAATTTTAAATTTTGTCATTATTCCCTAAATAATATTGCGTTAGAGCAACTATTTATGTAGTACTTATACTGTTTTAGGTATTAGAAGTAACCTTGAGAGGATTTAAAACATACAGGAGAAATGTGTAGTTTTATGTAAATATTATGTCACTTTATATAAGGGATTTGAGCATCCTTGGATTTTGGTATCTGTGGGGAGCTCCTGGAACCAAACCTCTGGATACTAAGCATTGGCTCTGTATGCTCATCTCCACAGAAGCAGCGACAGTCTTCAGAAAGAGTAGGGCAGAAATCTTCAGAAATAGGAGGCTGCTTCCAACTGACAGACTAAATGGGATTCTCTGACTATTTGCAATTTAAAGTCTGGGGGTCTAGAAGGCTTGTCAAGTCTACCCTCACTAAGTTTTTAAGGATAATACAGTAGGCTAACAGAAGCAAGCCCCCATGGAGGAACAAAGTTGCAAAAGATACCATATGTTTCAGGGATGGACCTAGATTCTTCTTTCCTGATATTTCATTCATCCCTGTGAAAAGATCTCACATCTCTCCATGTGACATCCACTATCAGGCAATACGTTCTTTGTACCTTATTCAAACATTCACAGGACATTATTTATAGTTGTTTTTCCACAGGTTCTTTCAGATGGAAACATCTAGTGTCCATGATGCTCCATCTCCTCCTCTCTGTTGGAACCCCAGCTCCCACAGGGCCCTTCGGTCTTTGCTGCTGTTCTATTCATGGCCAGCACTCAACAGCTCTGGACAAGAAGACCTATCTCATTATTCAAAAATGCATGCACAAGCAAAAAGAAATGGTTCAAATATTTACAATTGTTTTATTCAATTGAAAAACCTAATATATTTTTCCTTTAAAAATGAGTATTTTATTTCAAAGTAGATTTCATGTTGCTTCTTTTACCTTCAACATACATGATTCATATATTAAGTTTTCTCATATCCACATACATTCTAATCTCTTTTAAGCAGCTGTGAGAATTCATATCCAAAGCCAATACCTCTTTTCTAAAATTTGGAAAGGGTCTTTGTGCCACTGTAGCAACAATTGTTCCAAATGGTAAAAAAAAACCCTTGGCCTTAAACCAAATGCCAGGTCTTGGTTTCTGGTTGTGTGAAGTGTTTTTGTTTTTGTTTTGTTTTGTTTTGTTTTTCAGAGAAGGGGAGGAATCTTAATTCTTTAGGCTTGTCTCAATGACATGTCCAAAATGGGCATCTATGTAGAGTCAGGAGTGGTGATTAATGGCAGGGACATAGTCTTAGAAGTGCCAGGTTTGGTGATTTTGTCAGTGTACTTACACCAATCTACCACACACCCAGGCTCTACAGTGTGATCATGGTGCTTGTTGATTGCAATCTTGTTATATGGGGACTACTTACGATGAGGTGACCTGTGTGGTCCCAGTGCTAGATGATATTTTCACCCCAAAAGAGAGGACAATTGGCAGCTGCAATGTATTTAGGACAAGGACATCAGTATTGTCATCTTACATCCTTCTAATGAAGAAGACAAGATGTTGATTTTATTTGATAAATAAATAAAGGAGTTTAAATACATGGAAGTTGTGCGGGAGTGGGGGAAGGGATCAGAAGAACATGACATTAAAAGAAATATTTTACATTCCCCCCACCCCATGTCTAGAAGTGTTAGAATTCTAGCCAGAGAAGATTAGAAGGTAATCAGCCAATTCAATTATTTATATAAAAATATATATATAAAAACGCACAAACCAAATGAAGCAAAAAATCTTTTTAATCTAAAAACTCACTTCCCAGGGCTAATTAATCACCAAGCCCTGCCAATTTTTTACCAGTTTATTGGACTAACAAGAGCTATTCAGCATTTTCACCAAAGAAAGATAATATATATAATAGAGTTTGATAAACCTTTCTAAATGAGGACATGATACTGTAGGCAGTTCAAGGAAAAATAGCTATCACTTTTTCTTTGGTGTAACCAAAAAGATATCCAAAAGTTAGCAAATGTTGATATTTCAAGTGATAAGAAATTGCCAAATGGAGGTTTTAAACTCTGGTAAAAAACCATTGAAAAAGTAAAAGCGCCACCCACAGTTCTATAGTGCAAGTTTTCAAATTTAATTCTGAAAAATAATTTTATTTAATAAGCAGGAAACAAAATTCCAGCAGTGTATCACTTACAGCTCTTCTCGCCTCTGTTACCCTCTCTGTACGTGCATACCATCGTTTCGTTCTCAAAGAAGGTCTCAGCTGCTACTCATGGAGGAAATTTAAAAATTACCACATTTCTAAAAATCAGGCTAAAAGTTGTGTGTCTGTGGCTGCACAGCAGCAGGCTCCAAGTCACAGCGTCGCCACTTCCATGTGTTTTGTCATTTTTACAAAAAAGAAACAAAGCCTTTTTTCCCTAGAAAAAAGTACCTGAACCAATTTTGTCACTTAGCCCTTCCCCAACTTTGTGGGTTAACCACAACGCGGCTCACCTCGAAAGCACATCTATGCGTATACCCATGTGTTCTGAGCATTCAGAACCCACTAACCTACCACCTCTTCTTCAGAAGCAACAGCCTCTCCCTACTTCTGGGACTCTCTAATTTCCATAAACACAGCACTTTGAAAGCAATTCCCACCTAGTCCAGAAGACTCCATTACCCTACCTAGCTTTACTCTTTCTTCTATGTCTGTAACATGCTGTTTATATGTGTGTGTGTGTTTGACAAATGTTCAAAATGCACACCCACACAGCTCTACACACACCCCCAGCATTTAGCCAAAAAAAAAAAAAAAAAAAAAATCTTCCCCAGGAAGCACTTTCAGAAGTTAAGCTTCTACTTGCTTTTAAGACACAGGGCAAGTGCCAAGTGAGTCCTAAATAACCCTCCCCCTTCCACTGCAGGCTGGCAGTGCCCGGGACTACAGCACAGGTGCTGGGACCCCAGCAAGGCAAGAAGAGTCCCTGTTGTGTTTCCCAGAATATGTTGGGCATCTCCCCCCATCACCTTGGAGATTCAGGTTCTCGCCCCTAACTCTCTTCCCTCAGAGAGCACCTGCCCTGTTCGGACGGCTCCTTGCCTCTCCGCACCAGCCATGCCATCTGCGGGGCCCGGAGCCTGCGCGTGCCGCGGGGTGGCGGGCCCCCCACCGCAGAGCAGGCCGCCGGCGTCCGCGTCCTCCCGCGCAGGTCCATTCTGCGAACGTGCACTTGCAGAACCCAGGGTCCGGAGCGCCCCGTTGTCCACTGGCTCCACGGCTTCCCCTTCGCCTTCTGAGATGACGGTCATGGGGCTGCTCTGGATGCGGTTCCGCAGGCTGTACCTGCTGCTGGCTGCCGAGGGCGGCGTTCGGCTGCGCCCGTACCTGGGGCCGGAAAAGGACAGGCTCCGAGGCATCAGGCCTTCGTTCTTGGCCCACTCCTCCTGGGCCCTTCTGTTCTTGCTCGGGGAGCAGCTTGATGGGCTCTCGGGGCCATCCGGCGAAGGCTCCGACCTCGACCTCTGGAATCTCGGGTCTGTGTTCTTGAGCATCTCTGCGGCGGACATGCGGGCGCTGGTGTCTGAGCGACTTCCTTTTTTCAGTAACAGAGCTTTGAAGTTGTCGCTGCTGGTGCTGCTCTTACGGACACTTCTCTGAATCGATCCCACTTGTTTCGGGGAGGTCAGGCTGGGGGCAGCACCGGTGGGTGTCACTGGCGGGGAGGGCGAATGGTTTCGGGAGTGATCGTCATCTGAATCTTTACGGCCAAGGACTTTCCTCTTGGATCTGGGGTTTAATAACATTGAGAGAGAGGTCACAGACCACCCTGCTGCTCTTTCACATATTCAGCTCACCCTTATTAAGAGTGACTGCATTTTATTTTATTTTTAAATATTTATTTATTTATGCATACAAGAATTGGGGTACAGGCCAGAGGTGTGGGGGTAGGGTGAGAGGATTCACCAGAGACAGAGTGGGGAGCAGAACAGGCAGACTGACTGAAATACACTGCTGAGGGGAGCAGCGGGTGAGCCAGGAGAGGTCTGCTGTGTCATGTGGTATCTCCCTGGCCAGCCGGGTATCAAACTCAGGCTGCAGAGGCTGCGGATTGCTTCATAGTGCAGTGCTTAACCCCTTGTACCACCAGGGAGGCCCAAGAGTGACTTTAATTATGGAAACTTACAAGCACCCATGCAAAAAAAAAGAACAGTTGTCTTACCAGGTGAGCACGTGACCCAGGTACAATATCATGAGTTTATGATCCCCTTTCATCACCAACACCCTCACCAGATTATTTATATCAGGTATCATATTAACAAACCTTGGATAGTAAGACATTTCCTAAAAGTCTAATAATCTCCCCCCCCCCTTTTAAATTGAACTCTCCCATAGAATATTGCTCCTGAGTGAATTTCATGGTACTGACTATCCTTTCTTTTACTCTTCCTTTTCTTGTTTGGCTGGCACTTGAACAGGTCTAACAAATCAGCCAACTCCCAGAATATTTTCTCTACCAAAACACGCCCCACCTCCAGGTTCTAGAATAACCCTACAACTTTGTCTTCTCAGTCACTGTAGGGGGTGATAAAAACCAGTCTTCCTTAGTGCTTTCTGCAACATATAGAAAACCAGCTTCCAGAAAACCAGTTTTCCAGAAGACAACAGTGAACCATCTGCACCAGATCCTGTTTCCTGTCTGACTTGGAGAACTGCTAACTGATAAAGAAAATGTGAGGGATACAGGTGAGGTATGATGAGGAGGGGTCTTCAAGGAGAGTGGAATGTTTCCCTGAGGGTATTTCCTGTCCTGTCTCTAGAAACCCCCCTATTCAATGTTCAATGTGTTTTCTATGGCAAAAAACATTGACAATAACCAGAGAAAATAAGCAGCTGAGCCAGGAGGCCCTTTTCTAGTCTCTTTTTAACAGCAACTCAGTGTATGAGGAATCTCTCGGCTAAGTACAGGTGGATTTATTTGCTTTTAGGAAACTGGGCACATTTACTAAAATAAAGATGTAGGTGTGCCTCCTTTTCTACTATCAAATTCTAGAATATTCTAGAATAGGTTGTGACAGACGAAGGGTGGACTCTGAGGACCACCATCTTCTAGATCTGTGATCTTGGATAAGTTACTCATCTATGCTGCACCTTAGTTTCATAATTGATAAATGAGAATGGTGATAGTAAGTTCATAGATCTGTGTGAATTCAATGAGATTAACAACTTCTGGAGTCACATAGTCCCAGCTTAAATCCCACTGCCAAAGCTTCTCTGCTCGGTGATCTTGGGCACATTAAAGTTTTGATCATGTGTCCTATCTGGAAAAGGGGAGTAACAGTATGTAGAGTTTATAGTTTATCAATAAAGATGAATTACAGTCACAGCCACAACATGTCATACATAGACTAGGTACTTATCCAACCTTTGACTGTCATTTAGGGAAATAAAATTCTTTCTTTCTAAAGAAGAGGCTTTAGTGCTATTTTAAGTGGCCTGTATAGCAAGTCATGATGGCTGCCCCAGGCTGGGTGCTTCCAGGGTCTTCTCCATGCTTCTAGCCAAACAGAAGCCACCCAACGACCAAAGACAGAGTCTGAAGGGTGTCCAGGCCTGATGAGGCACTGTTGCCTTTGGGACTTCAGAGCCTGGCCTCTGACACTTTGCTTCAAATGTCAACAAGAGCAGAGCCCGGGAATAGCTAATGACCAACTAAGAGAAACCAGAGAAACAGTATCTTCAAAATGATTGAGATGGAAAAGATTGTAGATGGTCTAGTCTGGATTTCAGAGAAGGTAACTGAGGTCTAGAGTGAAGTCACACAGCTTCATACAAAACCAGGCCTGATAGAGCATCTTTTACTACAGCACACGTCATCACAACTCACACTGCTGGCCCCCACAGCTCTGCTCATCTCACTCTTGCAGGGATTGGCTGGTGGCACTTATATCCCTGCAAGAGTGTCTGGTATTTATCCAAGTCATAGCTCTATTTGATTAAAGATATGGTATGTAACTGCAGATTTAGAAATAAGAGGAAAAATGGGAATTTATAAAAGCATGGCTGTTTCTCAAGAGCAACTGTCATCTGAACTGAAAATGAAGTCTAAAAATATGAACGTCTGCATATATATGTACATACATACATACACACAGTGTGTGTACTACTAAAGAAGATGGTTATAGAAAGCCCTTAAACAGTTAACACTGCCTTAAATACTAATTACTTCAATAAATACAAAAACTTCACACTTCAACTGGTGTTCTTCATTTTCCATCTGGCTGTAAATCTGAAGTGAATTAATTTGCATTATAAAATTTGAAAGCTATGTTTCAACTTAGATATTCTTTATTGTAAATTATTAGAGTAGGTGCTAAAGGATATAAAATAAAGCCCAAAAAGATCACAGACTTTGGATAGATTATTATTACGTCTGCTAACATGCTACCGCTGCTAAGATAGAAACTAGCACGTGTCCTTGCTCTGGGATCTATACTCTATTTGCCTTTTTCTTCCAGTGTGTGTACATGAAATAACAAAGACTGGCTGGTTCCTACATCTGCAGTAAATACAGCCCTCTGGTTAGGAGAAACCGCAAAATTTTCAGTGCCTTGAGACAGCTGCCAAAATAAAACATAGAAAAGAACTTTGGCATATTTTTAAGAAAAGCACATAGCAATTTAGTCCCATAGCAGTTGGGTTTCTCACCAAGATCAAGAATGTAGTTCAGAGCAACTGGGCAACACATCCTCACTGTGGCTGCTGCTATAAATACGAGCGTATGCGTACTCCATGGTAAATGAAAGACACTGCGTCTTGGGAGACTTCCCAAGCAGTTAAGTTCCAATTGGTTTCATTTTAATTCAGAAATGTTTATTAAGTGCTTATTATGTGTGTAGCATGGTTAAAGTTAGAAACATCTGTGTAAACTTCGAGAAATGCCAGTTGCGTTCAAAGGCTGCAGCATTTTTCATGTCCCTGTTTTGAGAAATAATTTGATAACTAGCTACCTTTTCATTTCTACTGAGATCAAAGAAACCAGTCAGAGAGTATGAAAGGTGCAGTCTTTAGAGTCCTTGGGGATATTACATCAAAATTTGAGCCAAGAGGTAAAAAAAAATAGAATTCTTGACAAACACCTTAATTTGCTAGTTAATGGGTCTCCCTCACTCCCCACTCCCCAAGTTAGATGTTTATTTGCTGTGAGAGGAATGTCAGGAGGGACGGCATGGTGGTTTTCATCTCATGCAATCATCTTTTCAGTTAGATTTCAAGAATTGGCAAACCTTCCTGACACAAGGTTATTCACATGATTAAATAATTTTATAGGATGTTCTGTTTCAGCAGGTAAAATAAGGGACCATGGCAATATAAGGCATTGGCAGAATAACAGCATTCATAAGAGCATCTGAAAACATTGTGAAGATGTTTAGAAGGAAACGAAAGGTTTTTATACAGCACAAGGGCTCACAGTACTTGCACGTATATAGTCTTATTAATGCTTATGACACTTGTTTACAACTAGAAAAATGATGCAATGAATAAAACTAATGTGAAATCATATCACTCTTCAAAGTCACCACATAGATAAAATTATAACGGTCCAGGCAATTATTTTGAAAAATTTACTCTGTATTTTTAAAACACTATCATTTCGGATGCCAGTAGATGGCACTAGCAGCATACAATAGCAAGGAGTTAAATGCTTTTTTGCTCTTGCTTTAAAAAAATGCACTCCTTTATGGAAACATTTAAGTAGCCGAAAGAAATTGCACTATAAAATTCTGGTTGTTTTTTTTTTTTGTGAAATTAAAATAACTGTAATAAAATAAAACACCCTTAGGAAAGAGGTCCTGCAGAACTAGTCTGTGTATGCTAAGTCCACAGAACACAGCAGCCCTCATCCTGGACTGAACCCTGGCTGTTCTCATCCAACTTGTGTAAATCTTCTGTCATCTGACTGACATACTGCATTTCTAGCCAGCAAGAGTGGTGCCGACCAGAAGGCATCATACTGAGCCCCTGCCCCCCACCCTGCATCATCATAAAAATCAGAAGAAAAAGTAGAACAGAAATTGGACACATACAAATACAGAAACCCTAAAAACAATCAATAATCAAGTTCATCTGAATTGGGTGACAGAAAGCACCTCAAGAAAGAAAGATAAGTTCAGGAGATATTTGGAAAAGGAGATTCATAAAGTTAAGATTGAAATAACGAAAAGGAGTTTGGGATACCTGTGAATAGCTGCAAAAAGGTCTTCTGTGGTCCGGGGTCTACTGGGGGTCATCACCTCATCACTCTCTTCTTCCTTAGGGAAGTCACAGGCGTCCGAGGAAGAACGGGCTGTGTGGGTCTCCGGCACCCCAGCTATGGAGAAGCAAGCAGGCAAACACAAGACGCACAAGTGACTTGAATTTCAGCTTTCAGCCAAGCTCCCAAATAGGCTTCCCTGCCATCCCGACAATGTGAGAAGCACAGAGAGGCAGCTGGGTCTGTACTTTGATATTTTACAAAGAGGTAGATGATAGGCGCCTGGGAACCAAAGCTCATTCTTTTCTGTTAAGGTCTAGAACTCCTACTGAATCTCACTGAAATGTTGTGATGTTTCTTTGTAGCTCTCCAGAAGGGGGATGACTCATTGCTAATTAATCCCCAACCTGCTGCAGAGCCCCCACCTCCTATTTTCTGGCCTTCTGTAAGTTTTAAATCTAGGTCTCTAGATTTTAAAAAAATTTTCAGAAAATGCCAAGTTGGTACCCTGAGTGTGACGAAGCACAGGAAGCCCACCAACTGCCGTCTTTAAGGGGAGCGCGCACCAGCCCAGTTTGCCTCAGCTGCCTAGGGTGGAGTGGAACAAGAAAGAAACCAGACTCACGCCCTCCGTCCTGCGGAGACAGGCAGTTCTCCACCTCGCCAGCACCATCCGCACTGCTGTTGGCACCAGGCTCCTCCTGCTCGGGGGCTGGCGAGGCATCAGGCTGCACCATGGGGACATTGGCTTCCACTCTGGCCAGGGATGCAGATCCTGCAGCTCCTCCCTCAAGAACCGAACTGCCAGCGTCAGTCTCATCAGAACCTGTCCCGGCCGCAAAACTCTCTGCCTCTCCCCTCGTGGGGCTGGGAGCTGCTTCGCTCACGTTCTCTGCAGGCTCCGCTGTGAAATCTCTCTGCGGAGGTGGCACCACAAGGAACAGTTTGGGTTTCTTGGAGATGGGGGGCGGCTTCCTGCTGGGTGAAGGACCAGGGGACTGCGGGAGCAGCGTGGTCCTCGGGCCTGGCCCGGCCCCGGCCTCCCCAGCGCTGCCCAGGCTGCGGCTCGGGAGGCCACGCTCGGCTGCACCGTCCTGTTGACCCTGACTCCAGCTCTTGGCAGGAGTCAGAAGCGAGCTTGTCAGGGAGGCAGGCTGGCTTTCACTCTCCATTTCATTTATGCTATTTCGGGATTTCAGGAAAACAGATGGCTTTAAATGATACTGGGGAACAACGGGAGTTGGTTTTTCCTGAGATACTTGCTCATGTGACGGCGCTACCTCGGGTCCTGAGTTCTTCTTCACGGGCCTCAGCTGCACCGTCTGCAGCGCTTCCGTGGTGATCAGGGGCATGGCGGGCCCGCTGCCCGCCTCCTTGTTAGGAGGCTGCCTGTCGGCCTCCCGGGAACTTTCTGGCTGGCCCGATTTTTGGAAAGAAGGCCTGGGGTCTTTCATCCACTTGGGGTCCAGGGGTGGGGCGGGTGGGGGAACAGAGGAGGGCAAAGGAGGTGGAGGAGTTGGCAAGGATGCAGAAGAATCCAGAAGAAGGGGGTTAAGTGCAGTGGGGGGAGGAGGAAAGCCGGCCTCAGGGGCGGGAGGGCAGGGGGTGAGGACTTCTGGAGGTGGAGGGGGAAAGAGGGGGGAGTGTGGCAGAGGGGAGTCCCCGGGGGAGTGGGCGGAGGGATGGGCAACAGGAGGGGGCGCAGGCAGGAAAGGAGACTTGGCAGCAGGACAGGAAGCTGGAAGAGAAGGGACAGGGGGTGCCGCAAGGGGAGAGGCCAGTGCAGAGTCCAGCTTCTTCACAGTTCCGCTCCCTTCCGTGGACGTGTTCGACGACAGGGACGTGGACGAGGAGGAGATGGACACCGAAGACACCAGCGAGGACTTTCTCTCCGGCACCTTGGGCTTGGTCTTCCCCTTCCCATTTGCTGGTGACATGGACTTTAGAAAGACAGGCACGGGGGTGAGCGCAGTGGGTGTGTTCGACTGGCTGGAGTACCCGCTGGATGGCGAGGTGACCCGGTGCGATTTCTCCGGCGACGTGATCTTTGGTTTCACGGGGCCACCGGGCAGGAGGGGCATGGAGACCCGGGCCCCATCTGAGAGTTGGCGGGCTGGCCCGTGTCCTGTGGGCGCCCCATTGCTGGCTGGACAGCCCCCGCCTGGGTTCCCCAGGTCGTCTTGCACGCCCGTGTAGTCAATGTAGTAGCCCCAGGGGTCCGTGTACTCGGACTTGACGCTGCTCGTGTCGCTCTGAGCCGGCGTGACCCCGCACAGGGAGTAGACGTTGGGGGTGGTGGCGGAGGTCATGCTGCTGCCCGCACTCACGGTGCTCTGGCTGCGGGAGCGAGGCAGCCAGGGCTCCTCAAAGTCACTGCAGGGGCTCTGAGAGGGCGAGCTGCTGCCCTTGCCCGGGAGATTGAGCTGCAGCGAATGCTGGAGCGACGCAATGAGGCTCTCATTTAGCACCTGCCCATTAGACTGGCCGCCCTTCTTGGGAATCCTGCGAAGGGAGTCTGTCCGAGATGGTGGCAGAGGAGGCTTCTTTGCTTTCTTCAAGGAGATGTTTCTTGAAAGGCATTTATCTTGGTGATGTGACCCATCCCCTTGGTTCTTCTGAGCTCTTCCATCAAATACATTGACCATGCTGTGTCTGGGGTACCCAAAGCCATTGCTGCTGTTGCACAGATTCCCAGGTCCCTGTCCAGAGTCTGTGTGCAGGGCTGCGTAGTAGCCATCGTGGTCCTCTGAACACAGGGACCTGGCATCGTCTTTGTTTGATGTCTGGTCCAAACTACAGCTGCTCATGTTACTGGCCGGAGTGGAGTAACCCGGAGTTGCCAGATGTGGCTTTGTTGGCGAAGCCCGCCCATTACCGGAGAGGTTGTATTCCCAGGGCTCGCTGCTGCCATGCCCCCTCCCTCCTGAATAGCTGGACTCACTCTTGCTGTCCATGTCCTGGGCATGGGCTGGGAAGCCCACGTTGTTTCTACAGCGAAAGGCCACAGCTTGGGATCCATTCTCCCCGTTTGCTGGGGCAGTTAGGGAGCCCATGGAGTCAGAGAGGGAGAGGAGGGTGGCTGCACTGGGGGAGTGGGGATCTAAGGCCTGCGAATGAATGGGGGAGTGACCGTGATTCCAGGTGCCACTAGGAGCATGACGATCATCTTTACCAGCATGCCTGGCGAGGAGCTGGTCTCTGGATTTGATCTTTGTATATGAAGCTGAGCTGGTGATTTTGCTGTCCAGCTGCCCTGGACTCTGGGCAGTGTGAATAACAATAACCTCCGAAGAGGAGGAAAGTGTGGCATTTGGGATGATGCTGGTAGAGTAGGTGGCATGAGGAGAAACCATACACGCTGGGCTCGTTGTGTTTTCACCCTCAAAGTGCCTCAGCTCCTGGGATTTGGGTCTCAAAAGTGTGCCAGTCCTTGAAGCACCTCCTAAATGCCCTAAGTTTTCATCTAGGTGTGGGCTACCCCTCTGGTAGGGAAAAGTGTCCTCCATGTCTTCTGCAGGACCCAGGGCACCCAGCCGTGGCTCAAGGGGCTGAACGTTGACCCTCGCTCCAGACCGCGGAAGGCTGTGGAAACCAGCATCACTGTTGAGGCGAGAAGGGAACACAACACCCGCAGAATCGCTCAGCACAGACATGTTCCCAGAAGAACCTGAGAAGTGGCTCATCTGGGCAGCGATGCCTTGCCCCTTTTGGGCCCTGATCCTTCTCATTGACGGTGGAACGATTTTCACTTCCTCGGTCTGACAGCTGGAGTCCCTGGTTTCTGAGCGCTGCCCCGAAGGCAGGTAGCTGTCGAGCCTTCCTAGTGTAGAGCAGTGGTCAGGGCTATACATTGCGTGGCCACCAACCTCATCATGGCTAGTGCCTGATGCTGGAGATAAAGCAGAAATAGCCTTGTTAACTAAACTAAAAATAAAAATTAGTATCTTAGCTCATCACCATGCTCTCAATCTGCTATACTTAAAAAAAATTTTTTTTCATATTTGATCATTTCTTTTCTCCTGCAGATACCTAAGAGTTGAAATACTACAGACAGCTCCTAAAATAAGACTTTATATGAACTTCATGTACTTTAAAAAATTTGTATTTCAAATCTCCCTGTAGATGAAGGTCCTGCTTATAGAATTCTGAGTGATCCCTTTGAGATCAAGGATCTCTCTGGAAGATTTACTTTTAAAATAACCTCCTCGTATTCAAGAGTTCAAGGGAGTCTGCCACCCCTCCAGGGGACTGCACAGAACCCCAAAGACAGACGAATGTAGTGGTTCAACAATAGGGTTACATAGATAACATCTATGAGGGGTCTTGATATAAATTTGTTAATTACATGAATGTTTTATGTCAGAAGGAAATCCTAGGAAAAAGAAAAGTGATTTACAGCCCCATCTGTGTTCCAAACACTTCATTATCCATCTTCAGCCATTATCATCTGTCTGTCAGTGACATTCAAAATTCAATAGCAATCTGCTGTGTTCTGGTGGGGGAAGAGCAGCAGGAACTGATCCAGTGAACATTTCCTCAAATTAGGGTTATTCATTTCTTAGAGCTTTACAACCAAACAAAGAGTAACATGTTTGAAAAATGAAGAAATACAAAGAAGGTCAAACGGGAAGGGAAATAGATGAGAAAAAAACTTAAGAAGTTAGATTTCAAGCTACCTAGAAAGAACAAAAGCCTTAAAAAAGAATCATGATGCCAAGAATTTACCCAAAGTGTACTGAGAAAGAAAAAAAATCAATCCGTGCATAGTAATCATTAGACACAATACATCTTAAAAAACAGTAGCAAAACACAGTTCTCTCCAACAAGGACCTAAAAATACCTCAAGTACTAGCAACACACACACACACACACACACACACACACACACACACAGAGTTCTTCCTCAGAAAGAGAGAAGGGGGCCAAAAGGGCAAAAGCAAAAGAAAAATCCACTTTGAGAAAAGAAAAAAGATGCTAAGCTTTTTGCTATTTGGTACTTTATTTATTTTTATAATCTTTTTTTGAACTGCTGTGCTAATTGGGTAATTGATGAATTTTTTTAAGTTAATTTTTTTTGGGTGTAGAAGAATTGGGGTGTAGGCCAGAGGTGTAGAGGGTGGGGGTGTGTGAGGGGGTTGTGGTGGTGAGAGGATTCATCAGAGACAGAGTGTGGAGCAGAACAGGCAGATTTACTGAAATACACTGTTAAGGGGAGCAGCAGGCAAGACAGAAGAGGTCTGCTGCCCCATATGTAGGTTAGCTCCCTGGCCGGGGATGGAACTCAGGCTGCAGAAGTGATAGTGCTGAGAGAGACTTACCCCAGGACACCAGGGAGTTCCCTATTTGGGACTTTAGAAGGTGGGAGGTTAACTTGCGTGTCTGTATAAGTTTGCACCACTTTGATTCCAAACTTTCAAGATATTTTCTTCCATTCAATACTTAATATTTTTTCTTTCCAAATTGTAGTTTTTGCATGAGGTTAGTGGTAGATTTTTACTATCTTTATTTTTTTTTTAAGATTTTATTTTTATTTATACAAGAGCTGGGGTACAGGCCAGTCGTGGGAGGATGAGAGGGTTCACCAGAGACAGAGCAGGGAACAGAACAGGCAGACTGACTGACTGAAATACACAGCAAGTGAGACAGAAGAGGTCTGCCTCGCCATGTGGGATTCTCCCTCGCTGGCCAGGAATTGAACCAGCGCTGCAGAGGCTGCAAACAGCTTCACAGTGCTGCACTCAACCTGCTGTGCCACCGGGGAGGCCCGATTTTTACTATCTTTAAGGGTTGGAAAGAAAGTCCTGATTCCTCCAGGAAGTAATTTTGAATATGAAACCATGCAAGGCTTCTGAAAATGGCAGCACAGTCATATCTTCACCATCCACAGCCAAGTACAACTTTCTTATTAAAATACTGTTTTCCTAAGGGCTTTTATAAACATGTGAAAATAACTCAGATATCACTTATCATAGGGACCACCAAAATTATACTCCTAAAACAGATCCTTCTATATTTTCACAATACAAAAAGTACAAAATATTACAGGGTACAGAGAAATGCTATATTGATTACAGTTAAAGAACAAAAACAGACTATAAAAAAGAGAACTGCGCCAATATAGGCTACTCTGGTGCTGCATCCTGGTAAGGTTTCTCTGATTTTAAACCATAATGTAAAGAAATAATTATATGTTATAATACTACAACGGATTTCACATTTAAAAAAAATCAAAGATGATAGAAATCTGCAAGTTAGTTTACATTTAGCATACAAATTTTTAAAAAGTCTTGTTTGATCTTCTAAAATATTCTTAGTAGTACAAACTATCAAAAATTATTCCAAAAATTTTATTCCTATAAATTGCGCTTTTTTTTTTTTTTTTTTTGGTTTGGGGAATAGATATTGGGATAAGTGTTACGAGCGACCAACAATTCAGAAGTCAAACCAACAAAATAATGTGATCTGATTATTTGGTATGATAATCTCCTCATAAAAGGAGGTTCAAATACATTTCTATGTATTTTTAAGACAAGAAAGGAAAAAAGTGAAATTTTGTTGAATTCATTTAAATGAAATGGAACAAATTATAAGGCATTAAATATGTTTTGGAAGGGAATAGTAGATCTCATACCTTAATTTTAATGAATTACATGTTGGCTAGTCTCTAATGTCCACCATTTATGGATTTTGAAGTAAAAACCTCATAATTTTGGAAGCACTGTTTAGATTTCTAAAAATCAAAAGCCCCTGCAACATGCATGGTGTAGAATGGACAGGGTGCATCTTTCCTGTGTCTTTCTTAAGATAACATCTTTTTAAATCTAATTTGTATAACTAAGTCACACATCCCTCTGTTCTATATATAAAGACTAATTTTATTCTTTTTTAAAATGTTTTATTCTTTATTACTTAAACATCTACTTATGGTTGCTTTTTTTTTTTTTAAGATTTATTTATTTATACAAGCACTGGGTACAGTCAGAAGCGCGGGAGGGTGAGAGAATTCACCAGAGCCAGAGCGGGGAGCAGAGCAGGCAGAAGGACCGAAGTACACTGCTGAGGGGAGCAGCGGGCGGCAGGAGAGGTCTGCGCGCCATGTGGGACCCTCCTCCAGTGGCCGGGGAGCAGCCGGGGATCGAACCGGCGCTGCAGAGGCCGCGGGCAGCTTCGCAACCCAGCGCTCAACTGCTGCGCCACTGGGGAGGCCCTATAAAGACTAATTTTAAAAGAAAATATGAAGCATCTATTTTTAATAATCACCATTTAGGTAATACAAGGTTCCAAACCAGATACTTCATAAGTACAAAATATTGGATAGCAAGTAAAGTCAACCAGAAGTCTTAAAGTGAAGAATGTAAAATATTTACTTAGAGGAATCTGGGGGATGGGGAAGGAGCTAAATGTTATTGCATTTGAATGTTATTTCTCTCATTTTATCCATCAGTCCTTCAACTAGCCTCTCTGTAGCACTGGAGTCATCATGGTCTAGTGGTTTAATTATTTTTTTCTACTAGGTCTAACTTAGACACAGCTGTCTCAGTTGACCTCCACCTCTGATCCACAATCATGCCATTGACGGTGATATCAAGTGTCTCTTGTCTGGCAACAATCACAACAGAGAGACTGTGCAGAAAGCTATTGTCTCCCTCCAGCATTGGTGGTGGTTCTATAGTCATATGCAAATGAGATGTGAATATGGGCTCCAAGAAAACAATCTTTCATTTAAACACATTAAAATTATTGAAGATATGCTTCACCTAGCAGGCTGGATCATTCCAGTGAGGTCGAAGAGCCAAATGAGTCACTGGTTCCAGTAATAAATGAGGCAAAAGTTCAAATATATATACGCAGTTAGAGAATTCATATTGAATGCTTATGTGTAATGTGTATCTCCATCTGGGTCAAACTATTCTTACACTCTGCACAAGGTCATCTAAAACCTACCTATTTTGGTTGGAAAGCCACTTAAATTGCAGCCTACCTCAAAACATCAACCTTGTTATTTTACAAAGGGCTAGTCTCTACTCAAAGTTATTCCTTTCTTGTTATAGCACATTTCCTAAAAAATCAGTTAACATATAAATGTTACCTGAACAATAAGAAATTAGCCCATTAAGCAGCTACTGAACATATAGAGTACATATTAGTTTCTCAAAGGACTTAGATGTCACTAAAGTTGCAAAAAAAAAAGCCTAAAAGGATGGCACATAGGGAGACTGGCCCACGACAGGAAGGAGCTGTGGGGGGATGAAGCAAAACAGACTTCACAAAGTGCTGGTGGAGCCTTCCTTTTGCTTCGACAGACCCCTCTGTTAGGGGAGAAGACGAGAATGCTCTCTGGGTCACTGGGCTACACAAGCCAGACGCAAAGTGTTGCTATTCTTGTCCCATGGCCGCTGCAGCCTGTAGAATTGGATGGCAGTAAAAAAGAAAATGCTAGGCAAAGAAAAGTGAGCTCTCCCTCCCTAAAAGAAAGCATTTAAGCAGGGCTGTTGGAAAAACGCCACATAGAAGCAAGGTCTGTAGCCCCTAGAAACTGAAAGGCTGCCTCAAGGTGCTGCTGTAGATATGTCACTGTTGCAAGGATAAGCTCATGTTGAATAACAACCAACAGGCAGGTTCAGAAATAACAATGCTAAGTTTCTAGAGTATAACTTCAATAGTAAATAAAAGTAAAAACATCAGATGAAAGTAAGGATGTAGTCCAGAGGTTGACAGAAGAGAGGCAAATTTCAAGAAAGGTGGTCTTGGTGAAGCATGACTCAGCCACAAGATGAAATCCTGCCAACTGCGACAACATGGATGGACCCAGGAGGGATTATGCTGAGTGAAAAAAGTCAAAAGAAGACAAATATGTGATTTCACTCATTTGCGGAATGTAAGAAAGAA